GTGTGTGTGTGTGTGTGTGTGTGTGTGTGTGTGTGTGTGTGTGTGTGTGTGTGTGTGTGTGTGTGTTTTAAGGTAGCGATAAAGATACATACTTTATCGCTATTTCACACTGAAACGTTTAAATATGTCCCACATCTCTCAGTGACGTCCCAGTAGCTGTTTTCCTGTTGACAATGCAAAAATGTGTGACTCATATACAATGATCACATACATCTTTAGTGCCTCAACATGGATTTCTCTCTCATGGCGATTGATGAATACTCATTGCTTATTTTCAGTGTGTTCCCCGACAACAACCTCGGCTACTATTTCAAAAAGCCACTAGTGATCTCAGCGCAGTTCAAGACCGCTGTCAAATCTCATTAGTATAGTGAAGAACATCCCAGAACGTTGGCCAGCAAAGCACGACTCGGGCATTGCCAGAAGGACACCATGACTCAAAGTGTCAACACGTATGAAGCTAAGCAGCAGCGTTGCCTTTTCAACACGTGATTCAATTCAGATCTGAGCTTTTAGCTTTAAATATTTATCCAGGAGCTGAATTGTAGCTTCTTGTTTTTGTTTTTTTGTTTCACCGGGAGGTGCAGTCCAATTCCCAGCTGTGTTATTAGCAGCGAGCTCTTATCAGTCACCACTAGAGTAATGAGTCGGCTGTTTCAGATCACTACATTCACACAGGATAGGACTAATAGGGCATGTCAACACCACACACACACACACACACACACACACACACACACACACACACACACAGTGGCCGCATCTGTCACCGTCTTTCTGAATGTTCAGCACTTCCAGAGCCGCTGTTAATTGACAGGAAACAGTTCTCTGCAGCGCCCTGAGGATCCCTGTCTTTCCTTCTCTGCTTCTCTCTGCTTGTACCTTTGCTTGGGCTTAAACGGTATCTTCACCGCAGTGTTAATGTAAATGCTTCTCAGCTACTATTTGTGCGTTTTTGACTGAGTGGTAGACTGCTGGTGATCAGGAAGGCAACCATCGCTAACATTGTGACAGTGAATATTTAGTCCGGGGTGCATGAGTATCTGATGTATTGTGTGGGTTCCGAGCTAACTGCAGCGCTTCACAGTTTCCAGTGAATTTAGTTGTCAAGAGGACAATTCAACAGAGGCTTTGAGTCATTGGCTTTGATGTCTCATGTCAGCTGGGATGGATTATAGAGCTAAATGGCTCTTTCTGTCACTCTCTCTCTCTGTCTTTTTTTTATATATACACTTCTTATGTCTCCTTATTCACACACCGTACCGACAATCAGTCGTAAACAGAATATGAGGCGCATGGTTAAAATATGTCACAGCATCAATGTTGGCTGCATTTCTTCTGTTAGCGTTATAAATTACTACTGACAGGTTGCTGCACCCCAACAGTATCTACAGTTAACTGAGAAAAAACTGAGAAAACATTATCTGCTGCGGTCATATTCAGTTTTTAACTCTTTAAGGGAAAACTAACCAGGTCTGACACAAGCATGAAGCCAGGCCTCTGCAGACACACACACACACACACACACACACACATACACGTACACAAACACAATTACAATACCATTCGGTTGTTAGACAGCCTTTGTAATTAAGTCTGAAGTGAATGTCTACACAAGGTTAAATCTCAATTGAAGTAACTAATTTGGTTTGTTTATTTTATAAAATCTGACAAGTGGTCTCCGGGTGTGTGTGTGTGTGTGTGTGTGTGTGTGTGTGTGTGTGTGTGTG